CATGATCCCAGGGTCCTGGGATCGAGCCCCGCATCGGGCTCCCTGCTGCGCGGGGAGCCTGCTTCTCCCTCTGCCTCTGCCCCTCTCTCTCTCTCTCTCTCATGAATAAATAAATAAAATCTTTAAAAAAAAACTTGTATATGAATAGCAGGATTATTCATAATGGCTCCAAGTGTAAACAACTCAAATGTCCATCAGAGGATGAATAGATACAGAAAATGGGGTTCTATGTGGTGTAATATTATTTGGTAATAAAAAGAAATGAAGTACTAGCATATGCTATAACAAGAATGAATCTTGAAAATGTTATACCAAGCAAAAAGAAGCCAGTCTCAAAAGTCCACATACTGCATGATTTCAATGGGGGGTGGTTACTATTAACAGATACCGGGTTTCTTTATAAAGTGATGGAAATGTTTGAAAACTGATTATAGTGATGGAGGTACAATTCTGTGAATATACTAAAAAGTATTGAGTTGTACACTTTAAATCGGTGAATTGTATGGTTGGTGAATTATTACCTCAATAATGTTGTTTTTATAAAACATAAAACATTTGGAAGCAGGAAAATGTATATTCATTCTTCCATAATTATTTGTTCTACTTGTAGTGACACTAAGGTTTTATTATTTAATGATAAAATGGCACTTATCCACCTTATCTAGAAATGCATTCACAGTTCATGGAATTTCAGATTTAACAAGATATTTGGAAAATCATAAGGCTGCAAGGGACCACATGGGACTAGTATGATTGCAAATAAACTACATCATCTTACAGTTAATGAGAGAGATCTCTAGTGAATTGCTCAAAGACACACAGTTTTATTAAACAGTTAAAAAGCTGAGTCTTATAATTTTCAGTGCATTTTTTTTCTTATACTTTACCTTCTTTTTGTGTCTAAGAAGTGTTGAAATCTCACACACCTTCAGCAATTAGGATATAATGGAATTGGAAACAAACTAGTTAAAAAATGAGATTGTTGGCCAAAACCAAAGCAGCACTGATGGGAACATATTCTGGATAAAATAAACAAACAAATAAAGAGTGCAGCTTAGACTTTTACCTAATGTTTTAAAGAGAGACTTGAGAAATTATCTAGTTTACTCATTTGTTTCTAAGATTTATTTATTTATTATAGAGAAAGAGTGAGCAAGCGGGGGATGGGGGAGGTGCAGAGGGGGAGAGAAAGAGAGAGAGCGATCGAATCCTGAAGCAGGCTCCTTGCTAATTTTGGAGCCCAACACAGGGCTCGATCCCAGCACCCAGAGACCATGACCTGAGCCAAAATCAAGAGCCGGCCACTTAACCAACTGAGCCACTTGGGTGTCTATCTATCTAGTAAGAATTATTTCTGCAATATCTATGCCAGGATTTGGACCATTTTTTCCTTAATCTCAAAGGTGTCTGGTATCTCATAAATTATTTTAAAAACGAGCATCAAGAGAAAAAAAATGAGCTTCAAGGAATGTCAAAAATTCTAAGATATTATTAATTAAAATTTTAGGTTACAACATTTAATGTTAGAAATATGATATGCTAATATCATATTTGTACAAAATCTTATTATTTAGTCATAGTGTAGATTAAAACAATAATAGCAATAAAAACTAATATTTGGAGGGAATTATGTACCTTTCAAAATCTAATTTGATATACATCATATTGGCTTTTAAAAATAAGATAAAGGGCACTGTATATTATGATAAAGTTTTTTGTTCTTTGGTGATAAGATAAACCTATGATTTGTTCTTTGTTCAATAAGATAAATCCAATTTTCTACTAACATTTGATATTGGAGAATACCATTGAATGAAGAGCTGATGGTTGGCTCATGTTATTCTGTTCACCCAAGCTGATTCTTGGAGTTGGTAAGTTTTTCATCTGTTGATCTATCAGAAAAGTTATTTTATTTTGGCCTGGAACCTGAGGCTCCATTGATTCCTATCTCTGTTGTCTAGGCTACCAAAAAATATATTTACTTGGGGAAGTTTATAGATCTTGAAGTTGTTTGTCTTAAGTTATGTTTATTACCAAGTTTTATTTGCACTAAACTGGAATACATCACTCATATTTCTGGCTTCTTGAAATAAAATAAAGCAATAATTCTCAGGGCATTTTATGACTTCAAAAGTAAAAGAAAAGAGTGTCAATTTACTATGATGAATTTCAAGTGAGTTCATCCAACTGTTCACTTTTGGTTCTAAATGATCTAGTAAAATAATATTCTTTCCTAAGTCAAATGATGTTTTCAGTCTGCTGACAACGAAACCATCACAAATCACTAAAGGCTTCTTACCTGTGGAAGCACACCATTCAAACGCACACTGCATCACTGAGTACTTAAAAACCAAGCTTTAGAATCTTTGAGAAAAGTTGGGATTTTCAAGTTTTCAGTATTTAATAACATCCTTCCCCATAATCCTTCTGAATAATTGAGAAAAATGCACTTGCCAAAGAGGAGAAAAGTGTATTACTGTATTCTACAGTGGTATCTGTCAGAACATATGACAAAACCAACTTTACTAATGAAGATGATGTCCTAATTGTTGTCTATATTTTATTTATGCCTTTTCTAGTTGTGTGTCAAATTTATAAAAGTTTAAGATGTAAAAGTTAATATGATAATGATGATCATAATATAAATACATATGTATATGATCTGTGGAAAGTGAAGATTTTCAAAATAATGTAAACTAGGGTTATAGAGTTTACTACTTAAAAATCTAACCTTTCTTCTGGATTAATATATGCAGTCAGTGTTCCTAAAGATGTCTATTTGTGCATGTAAATTTATGCATATATGTCTTAATCAGCAACTATATATAATAAAACCTAATTTTTTTTTGAAGTGTCTTTTTTTTTTTTTTAAAGATTTTATTTATTTATTCATGACAGACAGAGAGAGAGAGAGGCAGAGGCAGAGGGAGAAGCAGGCTCCCCGCAGAGCAGGGAGCC